AAGGGGAACTCTACTACACTGCTGGTAGGAATGTCAATTAGTTCTACCATTGTGGAAAGCAGTATGGAGGTTCCTCAGAAAACTCAAAATAGAAATACCATTTGACCCAGGAATTCCACTCGTAGGAATTTACCCTAAGAATGCAGAAGCCCAGTTTGAAAAAGACGTATGCGCCCCTATGTTTATCGCAGCACTATTTACAATAGCCAAGAAATGGAAGCAACCTAAGTGTCCATCAGTAGATGAATGGATAAAGAAGATGTGGTACATATACGCAATGGAGTATTATTCAGCCATAAGAAGAAAACAAATCCTACCGTTTGCAGCAACATGGATGGAGCTAGAGGGTATTATGCTCAGTGAAATAAGCCAGGTGGAGAAAGCCAAGTATCAAACGATTTCACTCATCTGTGGAGTATAAAAACAAAGCAAAAACTGAAGGAACAAAACAGCAGCAGACTCACAGAACTCTAGAATGGACTAACAGTTCCCAAAGGGAAAGGGACTGGGGAGGATGGGTGAGAACGGAGGGATAAGAGGGGAAAAGGTGCATAACGATTAGCACACATAATGTGGTTGGGGGGACACGGGGAAGTCAGTATAATGCAAAGAAGATGAGTAGTGATTCTGTAGCATCTTATACACTGATGGACAGTGACTATAATGGGCTATGTGGTGGGGACTTGATAATAGGGGGAGTCTAGTAACCATAATGAGTAACCATAATGTTGCTCATGTAATTGTACATTAACGATACTACAATAATAAAAAATAAAAAAACCATTGTGGGAGTGGTTTAATTTTCCTGTGTTAACAAAAGAACAAATCTACCACCTTTGCATCAGAAAATGATTTGCAAAGCAAGATTAGGAATCTTAGGCGTCATCTAAGAAAGGTTAAACTTCTTTACTGCTTTTCTCTTGGGTTAAGCCCACATTTAGTTTGGAGTTTCAGTTTTTTACCTCTTTTATTGTAATTCCCTTTAGTTACAAAGCTTTCAGGAAAGTCAGACACCTGGGTATAGCCTCCATGTGACAAAAAGTGAGGAGGTAAGGATTAAAAAATATCTTGCCCCACATTCACCCTCTGGGAGTTCCCACAGAGAGCAGCAGCATCTGCATATAGGGACATCTCTGGAAGGGCCCCACCAGATGGACGGGGCAGAGCTGGAAGAGCCAGGGAGGGCACCCACACTGGCTGGACCATTCAGAGCTGCAAGATAAAACTCACCTATCCTGGTATGTATCAGAGGGGTGCTCTGTAATGGAGCGGGCCCTTGGTGGTGCATATTTTATAAATACAATACACATTTTACTGGACTTTAGATGTAACAATCCAGAAAAGTCAAGATGATTTGGAAAGATTAACATCTTTTTATATCACCAGATTGGAAACTGTCAATACAGTTTATACTCACATCATATTATTCCAAACAAATTGGTAAGGTAGTTTTAAAAACTAATTTCTTTTTGGGGTGCCTTAGGTCCTTATATTGTAACCATACAGCATTCTGAAACCAAACTGAGAAAAAAATATAAAGACCATGAATTTCAAAAGTTTTTGAAATGATCCTTGACTCTCACAAGGGCCAATTTATGAAAGACATAAAACAAC